TTGTTGATCTGGGGATTGTGTGTGTTGGTTGTGGGGTGTGCCTGTTGGGGTCTTAAATAATTCTTATACATGTAGACATTTCCAACCTATTTATTTGCAATATTCTAATAAAAAACAATCATTTGAAATCAATAAATTTTTTTAATATGATTATCAAAACTTTTCGATAACATGTAGATCTGTTTGTTTAATATCTATGTCATTAATTCAATATCTTTTTTTTCTCTTATAGGATCAATTGAGTACCGAATTTTTGCTGCTTTTAAACATACAAAATTAATTTTACCTTCCAACAGATAAATTTGTTATATTCGTACTAAAACAAATGAAAAAAAAGAATTTTTGCTTAATTATTCCTTCATACATAATATCTATTGCAAATAGAATATCAGTCTTCAATGTTTATTCAATTCATATTTTGTTTCAAATTGTGTGAATGACTGATATGTATAATCATTTACTATTTCCATATAATATTGGACTCACTTTTTATGTAATAAAATGTCATTGAGTCGAATTTTTGAACTAGCAATCAAACAAATCTTTATGATGTTATTCTATAATTTATTTGATTGATGATTGTTATATATAGCATGACTTATTAATAAGGTTAGATAAAAAAAGTATAAAGTAGAATTCGACAAAAGTGCATACACATTGCCACCGATTGCGATTATAATATTGAATCTTTTCTTGCATTTGAAATATTATTTCAATTAGAAAAATAAGAGAGTCACTATTTTTATACTGAAGATTTCCGCTTCAGTATTATTAAGTCTATATTCGATTAATGCAGCTTTGTTTTTCTTAGAAAATTGTTCTTTGTATGCTATTTTCTTTCTAGAAGACTTAAAAGAATGATTACAGTATTCTATAGTAATCACAGTGTGTAAAAGACCGATTATTTTCGCATCAAAAGACCTATCTTAATACTTGTAAAAACATAATATTGTCAAGCAAATAAATTCATGTTATTCATACATAAGTATGTTTTCTCCTTTGGTTCTTTACAGTAAAATCAATAAAATGCCAACTTCCTCTGTCCAACGAAAGCCCATTGAATTATAATGTCGCCTAATCTGCTTTATATGCATTTCTTAGGTAAATATTTTTCTAATATATATAATTGTTGCATTTTGAAGAGTATAATTATGTATATTAACAATAATAATATGCGAAAAAAGAATATATATATATACATGTACAACTTACTGTCCTTTATTCCTTCAATATTTGAGTATTAAATTGGTAGTTCTTCTAGAATGCCATGCATAAGTGAGTGTTTACAAGGTGGTATATGTTCATTTAATGATACATGTATATGCCCACCATGTTATACTGGTAATAGCTGTGAGATAAGTACTAATGTAATAAAATTTTCGTTGACATTTGCAATGAAATGGGATATGCAACAAACTACATCAAATTCAAGTTTTAATACACCAGAATTTTTTTATACAGCTGTTGTTGCTATAATGTTATTCATGGCTGTAATAAATAATATAGCATGTTTACAAACTTTTCTTTTACATGATATACGTTCAACTAATTGTGGTATGTTGCAAATATTTTATTGCATAGCAGGTTTAATTACAATTATTGGCATGCAATTGAGAATGTTAACTATGCTAAAATTTGATGCATTAACAAATGCTTATTCTTATCGATATACAGCATGTAATATAATTCCTGTTGTTGTTATTCTAATGGCTGATAATTGTATGTGGTTGAGTTCCGTATTAATAATAGAATTTGTTCTTTTGGAATGTTTTAATTTTAATATATATCGATCTCGACGATTTTCTGTTTTATCATCAACCATTGGTCTTATATTAACAATTGGTTCACATATGCATGAGATAATTGCTCGCCGTCCATTACCTGATCCTATGCATCCGGATTCATATTCATGTACATTTGCTTATACATTACCATTAGATATCATTGATAAAATTCTTCGTGTATGTCACGTTATTATACCATTAGCAATACATTTTATTGGTAGTATCTGTATGCTTATCAGTATAACACGACGTACTTTACTTGTTCGTGATCGTAAGGATTATTTTTCAGTATTCATAAGTGCATGTATAAAACGTAAACATTTCTTTGTTCCACCATTATTTATTATTGTATCAAATCTTCCTCATTTAATTCTACATTTAAAAGATCCATGTGAAGATGCTCGTGATATATCACTTCTGCGAACACATATTGCTTTTAATATTCTTGTTTATTTACCACCATCAATTACATTTTTAATTTATATTTTTCCATCAAATAGTTATATGTATAAATTTAAGACAACATTTATGGGACGTTGTTTCAAACGAATATTTCAAAGAAGAAAAGAACAAAATGCATCTAGATGGAATCAATTAAGAGCAGTATCTCGTGAGAAATTTACTATATTTGTATCGTGTGCAAAACAAAAATTCAAAAACTAATATTTTATGTTGATAAAAAAACGTTTTTGTTTTTCTCAAAATGTAGGTAGAAATGATAAGATCATTTCCATTATAAGTGATGACATATCATTACCAGGTTACATCTGTTTTTGTTGCAAGTATTTCTTTTAACATATTAACATGATAAGAAAAGACATTTAATAATATAAAATGAATAAGGTCATGTCGTCTTTTATAAATTTTATGGAAAGTTCTGTAACGGACAATCATATGGAAATAATAATAAAAAGTTTTTGTAAAGAATTTAATCCGACCGAAAAAGATCCAAGAAACAGTCAGAGTATAAAAAAACGTTTTAAATCTTTAATAATTGACTATTATTAATTTAAAAGAACTTTTTCGAATGCTTTATCCACTAATGATTATATTTAATAATAGAAGAGCCTATTTAATTTTCTTTTTCCGTTTCCCACCTAGTACTTATCGTTATTAATTTTTCTTCGCCTTATCTGTAAAATGAACACAATAATATAAAAAAAGCTCGTTATAACAAGATTTCTTTTCTTTTTTGTATTTTTATAGTATGGTATAATTTGTCTTAATCAACTTGGTCATTTACTTTCATGAAAAGGTAGTATTATTTTTGACAGGTCATCATAGTCTATTCGTAGAAAATCGTATCAAATTGCTTCATTATTTCACTTGTTAAGAAAGATAAAAATTGAAAAACTTCGTACTATTATTAGAGACACTGACAGCGATACGAGTATCATAGAGAATTCTAGATCATGCATTGCATTCCATTTATTTTTCTCTTTTCTTCTTCTTGTTCTTGTTCTTCTTCTTCTTCTTCTTCTTCTCCTCACATTTCTAAGGGTTTCTAGCCTTAAGACAACGAGAAACTCGTCGTAGTTTGTTGCACAATTATATATGAGAGAAACGATAATACAAATGATAATGATTCATATAGATATAAAATGTTCTCACTCTTCTATCCGACAACAATAGTAATATAGACATAATACTGAAAATATTCTTTTACATATTTTTCAGATGTTCTGTTTCCAACGTCATTTCTTGCAGAGTGCATTCGATGAATACTAACAAGGTTTCTTGTTTTCTTTTCATTCAATTATTCTCTTTTTCTTTCTGCTATTGATATAAAAGATATTTAACACTCTTCATCATTTACAACTAACAGACGTGTAACAAAACAATGTTTTCAAAAAGAGATACATCATTAAAACCGCCAAATACCAATAATAATTATTTTTCTAATAACCAAAATTTATTGCCTGGAAATCCTTTCTATGATACTCATTACGGTTCAACACCCAATGTTGCTTTTTATTTTGGAAATCAGGTAAATATATGATCAAAATATTTACATTTGAAATAGTCAAACAAAAATGTGTCTATCTTCTTTTTTCATATCGTTCGTAAAAAAACAGGAAGGAAAAAGAATGATAGTTGAGAAGAATAATAAACACAGATGATTGTTATTCAACAAGAATAACAAAACATCGTTTTTTTTTTTCTAGATTTAATACATCTATTAGAGGATAATAATTATTCGAGATTGTAAAAATATACTTATATACACTTAAAAAAATTCATTTACTTGACTTCCCTGACATTTATTTTATATTTATTGATTATAATTAAATTCAATCAGAAATTAAAATTCCTTTAAGTACATTTAGTTCTCCTGATAATTAAAACAAGAATAAAATATATTGTCAGAAAAAGAAGTTGCTTGCATATTTAATATTATCTTTTATAAGAAAGTAATCAACGAATTGATATTATAAATACAAAAAAAAAAAAGCAAAATGAAATTAAGTCGTTCTTTTTTTTTTCTTATAATTTAATCAATCTTCCTATCATTTGTTATTTTATAACCTTTTGATGTTTTGAACGAGTTTGCAGAAATTATTGATTGCAATATACCAAAAAAAGAAAAAAAATAATAATACTATTTTTTTACTCAAGTGCTTGCTCATTCATTTGCTATATATGATATTTCAATGACATGAATAGCAAATACATAAATAGTTGATTAATTAGGATATTTCATTTTTAAATAGCTCAAAATCAAATTGAAACATAGATTTGAAATTAATTAGATCAAATATATTTTACTTGGCATAGAAGAAAATAGACAAACTGCTTCTATAACCTCGTATATTATTGTCACAATTAGTTCATTTCAAATCAACAGGAAAACAAAAGCCGATTTATTTTTCCGATTCGAAAAAAAAAATTCTAAGTTTAGGTTTATAGATGTGCGTAGGAGTTTCTTTCAATCTTGTCAAACAAAAAGTTGTTTTTTCTTAAGTTATTAACAGTTTAGTTGTAAGAATAATAAAATAAGAAGTTTATGAAAAACATACATTTATGCACGAATGATGACGTGTTTTCTTTTTCTCTATAGTTTATTATCAATTGTAATAATTCATCAATATGATCTACTTCAGAAGTTTTATAAAACGATAAAAAGGAAAATAACATCGAAGAATATCTACAAATGTGTTATACTACTAAGAGGAATAATAATTAAAGGAAATCTTTGATGACGAGTAAAGAAAAAAGGAATAAAAACGTCATGTCAAGATCAAAATATATCCGCCCCCATAAAATTGACACTTATGAATATATATGCATCGTTCAATTTGCTTTAACTGATTATTATTACTACAAGTGAGATTGTGTGAAACATGCTAGAAAAAAAAGAATTATCTATTCGATAGAGCAAAAAAGAAAAAAAAAACCTACGAGGAAAAAAAAATGGAAAAAATGATTAGGACTCTTTTTTTTCTTTGCTCTAGTGTGTTCTTCTCCTCTTACATAAAATTTTCTCTCATATACTAGCATAAAAAAATGGCAACACGGGACACAAACAAAAAAAAAGAAGAAAATTCATAAATGCATAGAACAGGATATTATAAATGAGTTTTTTTCTCTTTGATTTGACAACTTTGTTTTACAACACGCACATCCATTCATTTTATCAATACAAACTATAATAATTACAGAAATCGCTTATAAAACAGAACAAAAAAAACGTGTGAAGATGGATCAACGAAGATTATCTGTATGTGCTAATTTTGTAGGCTATACGAATGCCATGGGACACACTCGTCAGATTAATGTAAGTGTGAAATTCAATAAATTTATATATTATGTATATATGTTAAAAATATGACGTTTACAAAGCAATAATTTACTAGATAACATTAAAAAATAGAAATTGTGACAAATAACAGATGACATTTTAGTTGTCTCAGTTCAATAATTATCATATAATTTTTCTGAAGGGATGTTTTCGTTACGGTAATTAAAAAAAGTAGAGCATGTTTTATTCTCGAGAAATTTCAATAAAGTTCCAAGCAACAGAACATAAATGCCGTAAATCTTAATCATTGAGTAAATTTTGTTCTTTAGTATTATTAGAAAATTCAAATAAGATGCGATTAATATATTCAATATTTCTTTTTGTTTTTAATATTATGAGTATATTCTTGAATGTCATAAAAATAAAAAAAGAAGGCGGAAGAATTTACTCGACTATGAAAAACATTCCGATGGAATATAAATCAAGTTATTTGTTTTCCGTTTGAAACCATTTACTATATGAATCGGAAATTAATAAAAATTAAATTGAATAATCCAAAAAACCGAAATTAATCTTCGATATTCTATCTCAAGAGAATTATTATTTTAATATATTTATTCATAAAGAAAGAGAAAATACAAAAAACGTCATTGCATATAATAAATTTGATATCTTATATAAATTATTTAGATGGAACAAAGACGTCTATCTGATGGTCCGTCACTTCGATTATCAAATCATAATTTATATTATCCGGGTGAATTCAATAGTGAATCATATATGTTAAAACAAAAAAATTCATCCCTAAGTATGCTTTTGGATTCAACAAGTTCAATGATGCGTACAGCTTCAACAACATTTCATTGTCTTATTGGATCAGCACGTCGTGCATCATATTGTGGTCAACCTGATCCAACTATTCAATTATCACCACGTGGTAATAGTGGTTCACTTTATTTATTTCCTACAACAGCTAATTCAAATGAATCATCATTATCAAATGCATCATATGAAGAACAAAGACGTACAGTAACGATATATGATGGTCGAATTCCAGCTACATCAACACCGCCAACAATTCCATTTGAACTTATGACACCAATTGATGTTATAACTCAAACGATAGAAGATCCAGTTGAATCATTTGTTCAAATTGTACTTGAAGAACCTGATGATCGACCACCAATAATACCTCCGGTATTATCATCATCGTCACGTCAAAATTCATCATCTCGACATCGACATCGACACTGTAATAGTTCACCAAAATCATCATCATTAATAAATGGACGATTATTAACATCAGAAAATAAATTAACTGATACAAAATCATTACCAATAACAGGAGGATTTAATTCATTAGAAACCTATTATCAATCACCTGATGTTGTTGAACCAATGGATTTTTCATTTCTTGAACCAGTACTTCGAGGTGAAAGTGCTGCACCACCACCACAACGTACTCAAAAATTACAACAAATATCATCTCAAAATAGTTCAACAAGTGAAGATTCCGCTATTGATCTTCGTTCTCCGTCACGTACAATAACTATTGTTACAGATGATTTAACATTACCAGAATCATTCATTGATATTAATAGTGATAATAATTTAACAACTAATTCGACTATATCATCTTCTCGTTTAAAAGTACCATCATCAATTGATTAAAATTATTTTTATTTTTTTTTTCGTTTTATTCATACTGTTATAAAATATTTATTTTTCTATAATAAAAAAAATTATGAATTTTTTAGGTTAAAATGAATGGGTGATTCAGAATAAATGACGGTCTTAGTATATCGATTGATATCTGAGAGATTTTTCATAACTGATGACTTGCTTTTTTAATATCAAAAGATTCTCTGTATAATTCGGCGCAAAATTATATATCTTTCACTGTCTTCAATTTTTTTTCGGTAAA